TATTAATTTTATATTTTAAATAAAATTAATATTAATTAATTAGATATTTTATTTTATTTTATTTTACTTTGGTGTAGACACGTGAGTTTTTACTGATGGAGACGTTACGAATTAATTAAGTCTAGTGGGTAGATTGTATGAAAGAATTTAACAATTTCCTTTGAAAAATGTACAGAATAATTCACTTGATTAATTTTCGTTCTGCTTCCGTACATTTCCCTCAATTTTTTATGTTAGGTTTACCGTAATTCCTGCTCATTAAAGTCCCCACAGGAAGTGAGCAGAAATTATGTACAACCGTTAAGCAGGAAGATGAAAACAATAACACTTAAATATGGCTTCTGTACAACTTACTAAAAATATATTCTGAGTTAAGAGTAAAGCGATTATTCTTAGGAAAGAATTATCTTTTTATATATGAATAGTTACATTCCTAATTCCTAATAGTTACTTTTTCCAAGCGTAAATAATTAAACGCGTATTCAGTTACACGCTCCTTCTTCCTTTTTTTTTCTTTTTTTATCAAGTTTTTCCTAGAAAAGTGTGTTAACATTTGAAAAATCATTCGAGTACGAAACATTAATCCTTCTTTTATTCTTCAGAGAATATTTTTCTGTGAGATTTGTAACAAAAGCCAAAAAAAATGTGTAGAAATTCCACGTCCTCGCATCATTTCCGATCGTAGCGTAACGTCATTACGCTTTATTTACTAATATTTAATCAGTTATATTAAGAAAATATCCATTTTAATAATTAAAACGTGGAATATTTTATACATTTAATAACAATAACAAGAATAAATAGTTAATTTATTGTTAAATCGTACACTGTTATGGCGAGATCGTATGTAAGCACGTTCTAACAGTGTATAAACAGTATCACATGTGTTTGTCTGCTGTATTACTTTAATGTTTAGGCGTATAGTTTTACAGTTTAAATGCTTGTAAAGTATATTTACATGGTTAAATTATAATAAATATTTAAAATATATATTATAAATTTACTGTATAAAGAGAAACAATGCTTTAAAAATTGATTTTTCAATACTTTTAAACTGTTTCAACTAATGTCACGTGATTTTTCCATACTTAAATTTAGTTTAATTTTGAACAATTTAAGCAGTTTTTATACGTTATTAAATTTATAAATTGTAAAAAAAAAGTAGGAAAAAAATAGACGATTCTTTGTCTTGCAACCTTTAAAAGGCCCTCGGAAAAGTTGCCGATTATCACGTGGTTCCGTTAGTATGGGAAAGGATGTGAACAGAAATTAAAAAAAGAAAAAAAAACTAGTCAGGTCAGCGCCTGTATGACGTAATAGATGGCCCGAAGTCAAATACAAGAGTCAAGTAGTTGTGACAAAAGTCGGAGGTCGTTCCACCGCGTCACGTGATCTTAAACCCAAATCAAAATTTCGACTCTCTGGTCTTGTGCCAGAACACTATATCACATTACCCTTATCTGCTCCGGATCCGAGCCCCAGAGACTTGAAAATGAAAGAAAAATCAGTAGGTAAATCGTCTTCTGAACCGGTAAATCCATCAGTCATGCATAAATAAGAAGGTAGTGAGACACGGTTCGTTTGTTTCTAAATATTTTATCATATGCCAAGACAATACAACAATATATTTCTCTTGTAGATATAATATAAATTAATCACTTCAACGACACTCCTACACTCTACATTCTGTTGTCGAAGTGTCGTTGAGGTGATTCGGGGTAAAAAATATTTCTGTAAGCAATTTCAAAGTATTTTTATGAAATAATTGAGTAGTGTTATGTTATATTATAGATGACAGCTGTCGGGTAAAGCTGGTGTTTTTATTTAATAAGCAAACAAACAAAAAACAACAATTGTTCAATAAACAAACAAGTCGTTCACTAGGTTAGTGATTGAAGGGTTCTTAAGGGTTCTGGACAAACTTTTCTCATAATTTTCTTGGTGATTCGTACACAGTTTTGGTGTTAAAATATTCGAGACGTGGGTTCGGATCCTAATCAAAACCAGCTCCCCTCTATCTACTTTATCAGCGAGGATATGGGATTTTATAAGCAAGAATTTCTAATATTTCAAACTAATTTCTCTTAAAGGTACGAGTTCGGATCTGTCTAGAGATCAGTTCTCTATCTCCTTATTATTTTTTTTAATAGAAAATTCAACTTAATATACAGAACTAGGACTCACGTAAAGCATTTGGGATGTTAGTTGAGGATGTGGTTCGGATCCTAATCAAAGATTCTCACTCTTTCTCTTTCTTAATCTTCATTTCTTTCGCGTAGAGACATGCATTCTTATAGTTGGTGTTTATAAACAAACATTCTTATGAAAGGAGTGTGAAAATTTAATTGTTTAGAGCAGGTTGATCGCATCCGTTAAGGGAAAAGAACATTAATCGAAACGCTCCGTATTCATAGAAATCAAGAAAAAATCATTAGGAAATGGAAAATTTTCCATCTGTTTCCTGTGTCCCAGGTGTTTGGAGCAATTGTGAATTAGAAAATTGGTATCAAAACTACACTACTAACAGAATCTCCATTGTAGTGTTGCTCTCTTCCATTTAATGTCAAAATAGACAGTCTATTTCCGGCAGGTGTCTGTGTTTGGAACAGTTGGTGGCTTATCAATCGAACAACTCCCAGCTGGAGGTTCTCCCCATAGTTCACTTTCTCAAAAAAAAAAAAAAAAAATCATTAATCGTCTTGTTCCTTTGCCTAATTAAAATAAAAAAAAAGAATTATTTGAAGATGATACACCATCAGAATTATTTTTAATAATGTAAAGACTAGCATTAATCTATTTTAATTCCCAGAAAATATAGCGAACAGACAGCCGAACAGACTAATAGAATTAATATAAAATTTAAATTATTTTCTTTTATTTTGAATTTCGAAAAGAAATCACGAAGATAGACACACGAACAGACGAAAGAAATTTTATTTTTATGTACGTCTTGTTAGTCTAGTCTGTTCGTGTATCTGTCCTCACTGTTCAGCTTTTAGTCGTTAAAAATTCAATATAGGGAATTTTATTTAAATGGGATAATGGAATAAATGTCTGCTAGAAAATAAACTAAGATTACACAATTTTTTTTTAAATATAAATGATTAAATTTTCCATAAAAAGAGCAGGGAAATAAACTAGAATAGGTCAAGACTTGTAAAAAGAATAATGTATACTGATTATGAATAAGTGGAGCAAAGATTTATACACGAATAAAACGAAAAAATAATAATAATAAGCACTTTTTTATTCCGAAAATTAAATAAATTTCATTAAAATCTAAATCAAAAACATGGGAAGAAGATAACGAAACCAACGAACACTATTGTTTCGAGAAAGTAATTTCTTTAAGGAGTGACGTAAAAAGGGTGAGACTTTCCGACACAAATGATCGATGACGTATTTCCTGCACCTATAATTCCCTCCTGAGGGGGTCCTATAGATCACACAGTGACTCCTTCCTCTAAGTAAGCTGGTCTCGAACAAAGTCTCTCCCTTGATTCACGGTTATACCAAGTTGTATAATTGATAAATAATACTAGATGAAGGCCATATATTTTGGTAAGAAAAGCATTTTTAATTATTTATAAAATTACGATAAAATCAGTAATTACTTCTTAATTGACTTCTTTTATATATATATATTTATGTATGTATATATATATATATATACAGTACAGGGTCAGAGGTGAATGCATTACAAATATTATGTGATCGCGTGTGATCACGTCGTTATAAAGTTTAATTAGGTTATTAATGAGTGACAAACAATAAACGAATTTAAATTATCCTTGTTAATTTCTTTTGTTTCCTTTTTTTTTAATCGATAAGAACCTGTTTGCTTTAGTGGAATATTAAAATATAACATGAATAGCATGTAAAGAACTTGTTGACATGGAACAAGAATGAGTCTGGGAATGTTGTTTTATATGTACTGTACTTAAGAGTTGGTGTGTGATCACAGGATTACGTTCCGACACTTTTACAAACGAAATTTATGTTTATGGAGTAGAAAAATATAATTTCTTGTTTTCTGGTCCTCCATTTAAAGGTTTCTGCTCTGAGTAGTTTAAGTTGAATTACCCTTGAAAACAGTAAAGATAAATTCGATCTTAAGTGAGATCTGAAGATCTGAACTCGTGCCTTCAAACGAAACTCTCTTATTAATAAGGATTCGGATACAACAGCGTAATGGAGTAAAAATTAACAATTATGTTGGGAGATAAGAGTTCAGATCCCACAGTACAATGGATAAAGTTAAGAATTATATACACATATAGGATAGGATCCTCCGAATAAAGTAAAAAATATATACTTATTCAACATCTTAAGGGTCAGTATATTTAGATCATACTGGAAAGACACGGGTTCGGATCATAGCTAGATTATTATTATTATTATTATTATGGCTAAATTTACAATTTTTTCTTCGATTTGACATAAAATTCACATACAAAAATAAAAATTCCAGATAAATTTCTTAACAAAACGATAAATTTAGAATTTAATTCGAAGAATTATATTAAATAGTAGAGATTTTAATTAATAGTGAAACTTCATACCTCGAAGGAAAATAAAAGGTGCATCAAGTTTAACCATAACCAAGAAACTATAACATAATAATAATAATAATTGATAAGTATAGGGGTCTGAAAGAAGAGGAAAATGTTCTCACAGAATGTAAAATGAGGTACTATATCCTGTTCAAGAAGTTTGTGGCCTAATTTTCTCCTGGACAGGACACACCTAGTTACAAGAGAAGCATATCCGGATGTTAAGAGATGATCACGATCCTCCCGTTAGAGATTTTCAGTTTCAACACCAATAATAACATTGAGGCCATTCAACGTCCTTGCCCTAAGTTAATCCTGTTTGTCTGGCTGCATCTACTTGCCCTTAGGAATTTTAGAATTTTTAAGGATTATTTTGAAAAAAAATATATATTTATTTTTTACACATTGTTCTCGTAAATTTAAGGAAATTAAGGTAAAAAATGCGTGTATAAAATCGGATTTTTACATGTATTTTTTTAGTGAATATTTTGCAACATATTTTTTAACGAAATTTTAATTTATTAGCATTAGTGTGAAAGTATTAGCATGAAAGTAATTAGGAAAAAACATCATAAACTCCTCTAATCTTGAAGTCAAACGATAAACATGTCTGTACTTGGATCCCTTAGAAAGTTGTTTGCAGCCCTTTAAGGGAGCCAGAAATAGATCCAGCAGTTCCAAAAGAGCCAAATTTAGAAAATATTTCTCAATAAACTTCTTAAAAATAATTCTTAATAAGTTTTATTTTAAAATTTAACAATATAAAACTTAAAATTATCAATTTTTTTTTTCTTAATCTTCCATTAAGAAAAAAAAAACATCTTTATGGATTTAAATGAAATTTAATTCATAAAAATATTTTTAAAAAATCAAAATTAATCATTGATTATTCGCTAATTAATTAAGCTGTGTACAGTATTTATAAACGAATAAAACAATGCAACAATGGCAATTCTCTTCTCTTATCGTATCCTTAACCAAAATAGCACATATTGTGTTTGTATGTATATCTATATATATATATATATATATGTATATATGTTGTATGTCAATAGCATGTAAGAACACTCTCTCTTATTTTCAACAGATAAGACCGCACCCGGTACTATAACCTGTGACCTCTTCATGCAGACCAAGAATGTTAACCACGACCTCCAGGTAAGTGACTACGAGGCTAACAACTACACTCGTGTACAAAGCATTACAGTCGAAGGTATGTTCGTGGTTGGTGTGAGAACCACTCGCTGGTTACACCAGGTAAGAAATGTCCATTCTGATACTTTGCCACTTCGTTGCTTCGCTTGTTCTGTTGCGTTTTTTTATATGCCTTCTATAAAGTTACATTTTATTAACTTAATTAATTCTTTAACTGAGTTAATAATTGTATATCTATCTCTAAAAAAAGGTTCGTAAGAGTTGTTCTTTTCGAGTAGTTTCTTCTCAATTTTTTTATTTAATTTTCGAGTTCTAAAGTTGACGTTTATAATTGCAAAATTGTTGTAAAATTCTTATTTAATTTTAAAAAAAATATATATATATTGTAGGGTTTTTAATTAATTTAAAACTTTGTTGTAAAGTCCTTATTTTATTTAGGCTATATTTTTAGGTTATTTTCTAAATAATTTTATTACTTTAATGTTCTCTTTAATTCTTTTTCAAGATTTGAGATTATTTTTTCTATTAATTCGTGTTAAATTTTCTTAGAAATATATCCATCTTTTAAATTTTTATAACTATAAATGATATATTATTTAGGATTTACAATTTTCCAGATATTTTTTTTACACATGTTAAGCTAATGTACGAGGACCATAGAATAAATTTCCATAGTTAAGCACGTAATCAAATAATTTTAGCAATAAAAACATAGCTTACGTTAGCAATTCGTCCGTTTGTCTGTTCGCGCGTGTTCTCTAAAAAATCTCGAAAATAGTTCGAGTTGTAAACATGAAATTTTTAGAATAATTTAATTCAAGATTTAATCTCAATCGAACTAAAATCTCTTATAAAAAAAATTAAGAAATATTGATAATTTATATTAATTTTTTTTTAATTCGAATCCTAATTATTCCAATTGTTTCTGTTAATGCTCGAAGCTGAATCTCTGGAGCAAAAAGTTAATTTAGTATTTTTTTCATTAATTTCAAATTAAATTTCTCATTATATCTTAATCTGAGAAATCGAAATTACTTACTGTGACGTGGTCACACCTACTGGTTGCAAGTTTTAACCATATTTTCATTTATAAAATATAAAAATTTTGAATTGAATTCACGTGACTTTCGGTCAAGACCGGAAGTTTTTATATAGTTAATCGGGGCCTCCCTCCCTTCATATTTCCATATCCGGTACTGATTTTCATTCATCTAACTCTGTTTTCGAGATTAACGAAGGACAGACGGACGGACACCGGACGGACAGTGGGAAATTTTTAAAAATAGCATAAAAATTTAACTCTTTTAAACGTAAATTTTTTTTGTATAAAGTAAAATTAGAAACTATTTTTGAAGATATAGATCTGTAAATTCTCGCTGACGTCTGTCTGTCAGGCTGTCTGTTTATGAATTAATTAATTAATTCTAGGGGTGGAGATAAAAAATTTAAATTTTTTTCAGTGCTGGAAATTTCTTTAAAAATTAATTTAAAAATATATTTAATTAACGAGTTTTGAAATAACAATCGAATAATTAAAATGGATCATTAACAATTTTAATATCGAGAAATTTTGTTCCTGATTATCATCATAATTTTCTGAGGATCTGTTTAATAATAATACTTAATACTTGAGAGGATATAATATTATTTCTATAGGATATTATTTAATTTTCCTTTAAACTTTCTCATAAATTTATAAAAAAAATATTTCATTTCCTTTAATGCAACAGTGCAAAAATTGAGGAAAAGTGTAATTTAAAAAAAAAAAAAAATTGAACAAATTTTAATAATAAAACTCTAAAAATATTATAATTAACATATGAAATTTCAAATAGGGCAAAATAATTAAACATAATTAAGACTGGTGTATTGGTGTATTTTCAAATTATCGAGCATTACCATTAAAAAAAAAATGATATTTTGTATTATTTTAAGGGAAATTTCAGGATATTTCATTTAAAATTTCTTTTAGATGAACCGATAATTCCATTGTCCAAGAGATTTTAAAAGTTACGAAGGTCGTCGCCATATTGACCTATTTTAACTCTTTGTAAGAAACGCCTTTGAAGACAAATGTTACCATAAAGAGGAAAAAAAAAAAGATTTACATTATTCATTTTGAAATTAAGAATGGCAGCTTCTTCACGCGCTCGTTAGATAATTTTGACAATTATGTTACACGTGATTAGGACCATCGTGATTAGTTCTAAATAATTGGGTTTATTTTTTTTAATATATATATATATATATTTTTTTTCTTTGTTTTGCTTGACCTCTTTAGAAATACAAACGTGATTGAATCAGAAAAGTTGCTTGTCCTTTACAAAATAACCGACTTTCTCATTCAATAAATAGGCTAAAATAATAATAATAAATTAATAATAAGTTTAGAATTAACTCAATTGTTAGAGCTGGTGAATATTAGAATTTAATATCGCCACCCAAAATCTCTTGCATACAAAGTCAATGTTTGTTCACCCCATTCATCGGTCCTTTGTTGTAGTTTGCTCTCGTTTCTATTCATTTTTTTGTATAATATATTGCTTGGGATAATTATAAAACGTTGTAGAAAATCTGGATTAATTAATCTTATGTATTATATTATATATTTAGACTTTAAAAAGTGGTTAGAAGTCGGCAGTATTTTTCTAGAATATGTTGTACAATATTCTAGAAAAATACTGCCGATTTCTATAACATATTTATGAAAACGTTTGTTGTAATGGAAGAAAATTGAAAATTTCCTATATTATATTCTATTATAAAAAAATTATTTTTTCTACAATATTACAGAACATATTTTAGAGAAAATATTGCCAATATAATGTCATTTTGAAGGTAACATTATATCTATGAAAATGTTTACTGTAATGGAAGAATATTGAAAATTTTGTAGAAAATTATTTTTTCTAGAATATTCTGGAAAAGATATTGCCGACTTCTATAACATATCTTTTAAAATGTTTTTTGTATGTAGGAAAATTGAAAATTTTTAAAAATATTACATTATAGAAAAATATATTTTTCTACAATATTGTAGAACATATTCTAGACAAAATGTTGCCAATAATGTCATCGAATGTAACATTATATCTATGAAAACGTTTGCTGTAAAGGAAGAAAATTGAAAATTTTATAGAAAATAACTTTTTTTCTAGAATATGTTCTGCAATATTGTAGAAAAAAATCGACCGAAGTTTTTTCTAAAACCAAAACCATCTATAAATTTTTCGTACTTATAAACGAAATTTCTCAAATTTATATGTAAACGTTATCTAAAAATATTATAGAAAATTCTATAATAAATTTAAACATGTGATAAAAACAATTATTTAATATTTTTTAGAATATACAATAGAAACCTAAGCAAATGAATGTAATTTAGAAGCTACTCCACGAATGATATATGGTATTATAACAATATTCTAGATTTTAATCAATTGTATCCGAAAATCTGAATGATACTGGAGAATTCAAAAAATGGCTGACCATTCTTCTATCTATCAGGAAGTGAAGTGAAAGAAGGTCAAAAACACCCGAAATCATTAAGTATAATTATAGTGAACGTCAAGTTAGTGTGAAATATGGTTGCCTCGAATAGAAAGTCGTGACCATATTGTAGTAACCTCATCCATTCTTATGTAGTTTTTGGTTTATGGTGTTTTTCTTTTCTTTTTTTTTATATAATAAAGAATAAAAGATTTTGGTTTTGCTTATCGTTATGATGATGTTAGGTTTCGATTGCTTTGAAGGATCTTTAATCTTCAAATTGTATGTAAGAAACATAAAGAAACTTAACGATCTAAAATTGGTAATGATGATTTTCCATTTAAAAGAAAATTTAGCCTTAAGGCTTACTTTAACAATGATTATTTTTTTGGGTTTTAAACTTGAGAAGCGACCGATTCAGTACAAATTCGAACATTGCGTGAGATTTGTGATTCAAATTACATCGATTGAATTAATATAGGGGTTAAATTTGCATTGCTAGTGAGCGGCGCGTTAATCTATGGGCAAAAAAAGGGCAATTGTCTAGGGCCCCACCAAAACAAGGGGCCACAAACCAATTTTTTTATAAGAAAATATTTTTCTGACAAAAGAAATTTCGTGCGAGAAGGCAACACTGTATATAGGGCCTCCTGATTCAAATTCGCCTGGGCCCCCACGTGAATTTATAACGCGCCACAGTCGAAATATGTGTTTATCCTTATATAAATGTAAAAATTTAAGGCCTTATATTGATGGAAACATGGAAGCTGATCGTTCTTCCATTAGAAAGGCCCGTCTTACAGATAATTCTGTTTTGTTTTTCTATTCTTTTCTCGAGTGTTTCCTCTAAAAAACGAAGTGAAACTACTTGAAAATCTCTGAATCACTTAATCTTTGATGCTCTCTAAGATGGTACCTAACATGGTCCCATCTTAAAGAGCTTTCCCAATTGTACTCTATCATCATCTTGACAGATTATTGTGGGGTTAACGAACTGCAACAGCATTCAAAGTACTTTTTAACACGTGGAAGTCTGTAAAAAAATAAAAAAAATTGACAGACAATGAAGAAATTCTTAAAAATTTAAAAATGCAGGAGATAAGATATCATTCTTGCTTTATTTCTTCGATAAATTATCATCAAGTATTAAAATTTCTCTCATGATTTTAAGTGCTATTAAATAATTTTAGTTTAAATGGAAGTAAATTTATGTCTGTTGGTACTATTGAAGTACAGATAAATATAATTATACTCTGTAAGAATAAAAGAACTTTTTGAAATTTTAATATTGATATCCTTTCGTAGGCATATCACGATCAATCTACGTGACTAAAGTAAATGTAAAGATTTATGAAGCTATATATAACCTGTATATCAAGGACATTACGGTGACAGATTTACTAATATGTTACTGTAATAACACTAAAATTAAATATTATACAATAGAAAAATGATATTTTCTTACAGAAAAATCGTACATAATCCTATTTTATAAATACTAAAATTTCGAAATT